TTAATTACATCAACATCCATACATGATAGCAATAAACTTTACCATTACATAAACATAAAGTACATCAACATACATTACATAAATAAGAATTACACAACAAGTCTATTACATCAAAATCCCCTAAAACCTCCAGAAGCATATCTTCAACCCCAAAACAATACCTTAACAATGACCAGCAGAATCAGTACACAAATCATACTCTTCAACTGTTTCACTTCTTCTCTAACAGATGCCACATCCTCTAAAACTTGTATAAGATAATCTGCAACATCTGAAAGAGTATCTTCTGCAATGGGCATCATATTCTCAGGTTCTTCATCAATCCATTCCCAAAATTTACACTTTTTCCCTGGTTTCTGTAGTAATAAAATCAACAACATAGAAGGTAAGAAGAAGAAAATTGATGCAATTTGACAAATAAAATCAATTTAGGTATTTACCAATGAGTTAGGGCACACTCGGAATTTCTTTCCAGGGTTATCTTTGGTCTTGGAGGTACGAATTCTTGAAGGAAGTTCACAATCACAGAGGACTTCCTTATCTACTTTGTGATTGCTTGAACCTGTGGAGATTCTTGAGCCACTCGACATCTTCTTTCTTCTTCTACGAATTCCCCACTTCTCTTGTTCGAGTTTGAAGGTGATTCCTCCTGATTTTGGATGTTAACATTCGTTTATAATGAGTGACTAAGCTAATTAATTGTTAAGCAGTTGTTTTTAGTGCCACGTGTGCTTCTACATCAGCAAAACCTATAGAATCCGGTCAAAATGACCTATTGTGTACATATTAATAAAGTATAAGGGTTTAATTTACAAAAAAAGAACTAAATGTGTACATTTAAAAAAGTAACTTACCCTATCAAGTCATTATCCATTTTCCTTTCTTACTCGAAAGCACTATTAATAAACATGCCAAAGTAAAAGTTTTTTTTGTTTTTGTTTTGTTTTGTTTTTTTTTTGAAATAAGTTGGCGTGTGCAGTTTTAATGCTCTATTTATTTTTATAACTATAATGTATTTTTTTTTCTTTTCATATTTTATATCAGAGTTGTATTGAAATATATTCTTTTAATAGTGGCGTATTGAAATATTTTTAACTATTTAAGTATAAATATATTGTAATATTACTTATTAAAAATACTTGTGTTAAATTATGATTAGACTTAACAGAAAACAAATTAAATGAGGGATATATATATATATATATATATATATATATATATATATATATATATATATAAAATATTTTAGATATATGAGGATAACTTAGTTACTATTTATATATATATTTTTGAAAGAGGTTAATCGTTAAAGTTGGTAAAAAGATGATGTGTCGGTTGTTTTATGCAAAACATAGGTCGACAACTGTGAATGTTTTTAACACTATAAGTGGCCAATAAGCTATTTTCAATACATTTAAAATATCAGTATAACATAATTTGTTGCATCAAACAAGCAACTTAACAAGGGAGAATTTCATATATGCCTTTCTTAAACATCAAAATATCATATTTACCCAACTTAATTTCTAAATATCATATTAACCCTTCATAAAATTTCTAAATATCATATTTACCCTTCATAAAATTTCTAAATATCATATATGTCATTTTTAAACATCAAAATATCATATATGCCCATCTTAAATATCAAAATATCGTATATGTACTTTTTAAACATCACAATATCAATGGTAATATCTAAAATATCCTCCATCTACAACATGATAATAATCAACAACAACAAAAACTAAACAATCAAAATATACATTCTATAGAGAGGCTTGAAGATGAATCTTTTTGTTTGTCAAGAGTGCGACATTCCAACAATTTAGAAGTTCACATTCCATTATCATAGACGTAAGGATAATATAGTTAAGTTTTTTAATTATTATAATAATTCTAAGGTATAAAAAATAAAATATTAAAAATATTATAAAAAAGGATTTGGGCAAATATGATATTTTGAAGGTTTATGAAGGGTAAATATGATATTTAGAAATTAAGCTGGGCCAATATGATATTTTGAAGTTTAAGAGGAGTATATATGATTGAGTCACTTATAAGAAAATACCATAATGGTGTCACAAAGAAAAAGAAATAGGTAATACCTGAATTACTCGCGATGTAACATAAAAGATTTACAAAAAAAAAAAAGGAAACACATGAGTCACTCGCAATGTATCCTAGAAATGTCATAAACACAAAGGGAACATGTAACAACCAAATCACTCCTATTGGTATTGTACCACTGGAACATAAAGGATACTAAAAAACTGGCAACAACCGCATCAATGCATTTTACCATAGAAACACTACAAATATAAAAGAATAGGTAAGAAATGAAATACTAACATTGTACAATAGAAATACCCTGAATTTAAATAAACCAAATAAGTTATATGAAGGAAGACCTTTGAAGCGAAACGATAGTAAGTCACTTGGACTTCGTTTTATCTTTCTACTTCTCCGACCTAATAACCGTTGAACACAACTGAGTGTATGTATAATTTCACATATATAATCCCCGTGGGTATCTTAACAATAAATAGTTTATTATGATAAAACAAATCATGGTTACAATTTTTATTTATTTATTTATTTTTGCTTTATAATACACGTTCCATGCCTATAAATCGTCGAGAACGAACATACACCATGGTTTAACTTTAAACCATGGTAAATTCCATAACTACCTGCTCCAAAATGTAAATAAGACGTAAACAACATAATTTTGTCTTATATTTCATAAAACATTGGGCTGCTAATCAAACCATGTAAATGGCTAATATATAACATATTAGAAGTAGCCAACGCGGGGGAAACAACGGGTCCTAAACTCGCTAATAACATCCTCATCAACAAATGCAATACTCCCCCAATCGTAACCCAAAGGTAAGGAAAAACTCTTCACACCCAAAACACATCTCATATCCTACACCATGAAACAACAACACACCATTAACATGGTCACACAAAATCTAAGAAATGTGCATCTCATGCCCCGAAACATGAAATCATAAAATGGGTCGTACGTGCGAGAGAAGGATACAACTTCTCTCTTATTTCTTCAAAAAGCTGCACATTTCCCTTGATGGTTAATAGGGTATGATAATAACCCTAACTCTGATTGAATTATTATTTTAGAATATATATAGCTTGATATTGAAACATTCATGAAGATACAATTTCACACTCACACATATGTAACCTTCGCGACGCGAATCATTTAAAACACTCATCGAGCATGTTACTCATTCACATACCAATATGATAAACACACACTCGTAGTCCTGTGTAAAAACTTGCAAGCATGTTCATTGTTTACATATTAAATTTTTATAAACACTACTCTATCGTTAGTTAGAACATTGTTAAGGTAGGCTTATATAAACATATTTAACATCGATACGAAATCACCTAAAATGCCAAAACATACCTACAAATATGTTATTGAACTGCAAATATGTTATTGAACCGTTGTTTATTGTTAAAAGTACTAACAATAAAGAATTACCGACCACTTACTTGCATCACAATATATATTCTTGAACTGATGATCATGAGGCACAAAGTTACTTTGATTATTGACTGTTGTTAGCATGAACGACATAATATATACATGAATGTCCTTTTATATGTGGAGACATATTGTCTTCTATTTATGAGTCGCGATAATAATTCGTGCACAAAATGTTAGTTAGGACCAAAAACATGGGTATAATATATAAGGAACGGTTATTTTACTAAATAACTCTGAAAATTAGTCAAAACAGCGGTACCGGGTGTTGCCCTCCCTTCTAGAGGTTGAGAGTTCAAGTCTCATTGTAGACATAAGTGGTATTAGGTGTGTAATTTAGGAGTAGTGTAAATTTGTTGTTCTTAAAAAAAAAAAAAAAAAAAAAACATAATTAACTTAGGCGGGAGATTTCCAAATTCAAATTTTCCAAATACTTTATTCATATTTTTATTGGATTGGTCGTGCCCCACCCGACCATCCTTTTGCTTTCTATATTCGCTCTGCGTCACCACACCATAACCACTATCCTTCCTCAAAGGTACACTAGGGTTCTCGCCAAATTGTTTCAATTTATTACTCGAATTCTCTAATTCTCTTACGTTTCGATTCATGTAAACAGATCCCCTTCCGATTCTATCTCACCAATATCTTAATTTCTTCAGGATTTTGTCGAATCTGAGAAATCGAAGCGATAATGGGTCAGATCCAGTACTCCGAGAAATACTTTGATGATACCTTCGAGTATAGGTAAATACTATTTACTCCTTTTTTCAGTTTTAATATCTCTGTATCTCTCTTCTGCGAGATCTACTGTTACGATTTTGAAGGTTATCCGAAGAATTTTATATACGTAATTTTCTTTTTTCAGGCATGTGGTTCTTCCTCCGGAGGTTGCAAAGCTTCTTCCGAAGAATCGTCTTCTTGCTGAAGTATGTTATCACTTATCATTTAATTCGAATCATGGTTTAACCATAGGTTTTTCGTCAATCATTTTATACAGACTTTAATGGAGTGAGGAGTTTTTACAAAATAGTTAAAGCAGTAGGATCTGAACACATATGACATATATTCCAATAGATTTATGAATGCTCAACTTCATTTTAAGATATGTATTAGATAAGTTCATCAACATTCATGCTAATCTGTACATGGTAGATGAATTCTCCATCATGATATTCCAGAATTTACTCTATTGCGAATTAATGATAGTGGAATTCAAGCAACAACCAGAAGCAATAAAAACATTAGTTGTGTCTTAGTGATCAGAAATCCAACTTGCAGATGGAAATGAACATTGAACAATCTTTTAATGTATTTTTTTGTGGTTTTGTATGAATTTATAGGGTGAGTGGCGTGCAATAGGAGTGCAACAGAGTCGAGGATGGGTGCACTATGCAGTTCATCGACCAGAGCCACACATCATGCTCTTCAGGAGGCCTCTTAATTTCCAGCAGAATCAAGAAACCCAAGCTTAATATTTTTAATATATACTAAAATCTTATTTGGATTCGATTGTCATATTTTAAGGGTGATATTTGTATTCCAAAAACGTTTATTATTATTTTTTTAAATTTGGATGGTTTGGTTTAAAATACCATATTGGATGACATTTGGCCAATTTATTGTAACGGGATCAACTTTTAATTTTCTTTAAAATGGTGAAATTGGCATGAAGTTAAACTTTGGTTAATAGCGGAATATCCCCAATAGTTATCGTTGTCCCCTTAACTTTGGTGAAAGGTACTTGGTTATTTGTTAAATAACCTTGAAGATTACTTGGAAAAATAAATAATGCATATACTATTTGTTTTTGGGAAATTGAGTAATTTAACCAATGGTATTTCACTAATAATAACCATTTTTTTTAAAGCTAGTCACTTGGTCCGTTATCGGTCATTCCAGACCCGAAAAATCCGCCCACGTCTAATACTGTAGCATATATATATATATATATATATATATATATATATATATATATATATATATATATATATATATA